CAAGCAATGTAGAGCTTGGTCAGTACCTAGATGGGTGATCGCTTGGGAATACTAGATGCTGTAAGCTTGGATGTGCCGGTGGTTTAACTGATAACAGATCGGAATTGCTGTTCGGAGAGCCGAGTTCCAATTCCAGTTGGGTTCGTTTATTTACTTACGCGCAAATACCCCTGGTAATGGTATGAATCCACTTCTTCTCCTACAACCATCTATGGGTTAATTAGTATAAAACTCGTATCCCGAAACCATTATTATTACCAAAAATGAAATAAAAATTGCGTACAAAATATTTAGATTTCGGTATTAAATAACTTCTAAATGCTGATATGCCACTAAACAAAATCAACCAACAAGCGTTACTAGTTCTTTAAATTATGATCATCAAACTCAATTAAGTCATAATGATACCATCAAGCTGGTTTGATAACCACTGCTCCACGGTCAGGAGCACACATCTCTTCTACGTAATTTGTAAATACGATGGAGGTGCTGAAAATTCGTGGAACGACACACCTTCCAAAATTTGACTAAATAATAATACAGATTTTTTTTTTAATGTTTTTTGTTTGTTTTTGTGTTTTTTTTTTTTTTTTTTTGTTTTTTTTTTTTGTTCTGGCTGATTAATTTTCAGCACCCCACCGCGTACGACATCACAGAAGTATAACCTACATTACCGGGATGTACGTCACTGTAGACGGCACGCCGTGTAGGCTAATGGTTGCCGGAATACGCTTCTTAGATATTATTATTGTATAACGAGTATGATTCACACTGAGTGCCACACTGTTGTTGTCTGTTGTCAGACGAAGTTTAGTACAAAATTCATTGTACATATCTATATAAATTCATTGTACATATCTAAATTCATTGTACATATCGTATATACGATCATTTTCTAATCATGGCTTAGATGTAGCACAAGGCCAAAAGTAGGGAACACTGAGTAACTATCGAACTCACTGCTCAGCATAACTGTTCTTACAAGACAAGCAGGCTAACCACGTCGAGGTACACAAGTACTAATTATATGGTAGTTTTCTAAGCGTGGCTTAGATGTGGTACAAGGCCGGAAGTATAGAGCATCCGGTGAGGATTGAACTCACTATTCAGTTGTAACTATTCTAGTCAGACAAGCATGTTAATCACGTCGAGGTACCCAGGTACAAATTATATGGTAGTTGTCTAAGCGTGGCTTAGATGTGGTACAAGGCCGGAAGTATAGAGCACCCGGTGAGGATTGAACTCAGTACTCAGTTGTAACTATTCTAGTGAGACAAGCATGTTAATCACGTCGAGGTACCCCAGATACAAATTATATGTTTGCAGATTACTCATTTAAGAAAAATTAAATATCCTTTTTAAAAATCGGCGCGCTTACCTGCTTTCTAATGTAACGGGTTCAATTCTTAGTAACCCATTAATGTCTATTTATTTATCGTTATTCTATAATCCAAACGATAGTTGTTTTATTCATTTATTTTACAGAATTAGCGAAATATTCGAAGAATTGAACTGCAGGCCCTCACATTTCCAGCCCGATGCTGTACCGACGTAACTGTTCTCTACCATGGCCACCATCCCACACACCATCATTATTGTACCTGGCCAAAAGGCTAGGAAAAGAAAAGCATGAATTAATCAGAATGAATCACTTTAATGGTCCTTTGTGTATGACACAATCATTTTTATTGTAATACGGCATTTGTCTCTCACTTCATTCGTGGAAAACGAAAACGGACTTTAGTTTCCCCTGCAACCACAAGCCAATCGTAAAGGAAAGAGAAAAGAACGAACGATAAGAATATTAAAAACTAGAAATGGCTACACAAAGAGAACTGACTGAAACCACATTGTCTTCATTTTTGTCCATTCACTTCAATATTCACAGAATATTATACAAAAAAACCCTTGATAATTTCTTTTCATTTTCCCTTACCAATGTTTCTGGAAGTTCTCTTGTCCTGATATATATCCGACGGGATCGGATTCTTTTCACCAAGTTTTCTATCGGTTATTATGGATTTATCCGCCTCTGTCCATTGAAGAGCTCCGCTTCCATTTAGAGGCGCGCATGCGCTCCTTTCATCGTTGTCCTGTAGCCCGCGCCATTTTGTTCCGGCAAGAGAAAATGCAGTCGAATTTCTACTTCATTTTTTAATTTCTTATTTTAATGGCTGAAAGGTCGGGCGATTTAATTTTGTGAATAAAAATACTGGCAAAGTTATTTTCATTATTATTTTTCATTGGCTTTTATAAGTGTATGTGTGTTGTACTTTTCTGCTGCTAGCTATTTCACGTTGATTATTTCCAGTGCGTGACAGTGAGTTGAATTATTCGAGGGGGTTTACACTTTCGTTTGGTCTTGTGCGGCATTATGCCATTTTATATTGCATTATACTGCATTGTGTTGCTCTTTGTTCAGAAGCATCTTAGGCAAAAGGAGTTCAAGAATGAATCATCATGCATCTCTTTGGAAAGAAAAGGCGAAACTGATTCAAAGAACTTGTTTTCCGATGTTTAGTTATGGATAAGATATCGTTTCGTTTACTTTCATCATCCCTGTTTTCTTGTTAGCAACTTCTTATGAATGTGTATCATTTTATTTTTCAACCCCATTCCCGCAAAATACTCAATTATCTTTACCGAAGCTATTTACTAAGCGTCGCTTTGTTTGGCACCAGGATACGCATGTGGGTCACTCAGCATGGTTGTTAATTTTAACACCACCTAACTGCTCGCTATTAATCATATTAAAGAATCTTTCTATTTATTTTTTCTTTGCCTTCCATCATCTTGTCTGATGCTAACCTTCAGGAGAGAAACTTACTGCACCTTCTTGGTCTCATGTTTTACACAGACATGAAGTCGAATTATTATATTAAATAAAATGCTACGTCTGCCCTCGAGAAGCCGGTTCACTGTGTCGTGCTAGACAATCTTCTTTCTCTCCAGAATCTGTGTTCCATTCGTCCGTGCTTCGAATAGTGCTGCCACATTTGGTCTGGTGTTTCTGTTACATATCTAGAGATTCTTGGGAAAAAATCAAAGAAGAATCTGCAACCTCCTCGTTCTTGACCTTGCAGCTCGGCTTCAGTCACTTTCACACGTAACGTCACGTTCGTCTGCCTTTTCTATAAATAATTTGGTGGTAACTGTTCCGATGCCCTTTCCTCTTTGGTACTTCGATTTTACGCATTTAAGTGCAGTACTAGATTGGCAGCTAAGTCTCATACTACCATTGTTGAAATTGCGAGATGTAACTGTAAGTTCTATGCCAACAGTTTTTTTCCCGTACACTTATCGCTTGTAAAAATCTCTTGTAGCTTTTTGCTTTCCCGTCAACTACAATCTTGAAAAATTTAAACGCAAGACCAATCATCAAATTCTACCTCCTTGAATCTGTTGTTTTATTGTTCTCTCTGTTTCTTTCACGGACAGTAACCCCTTGCGTCTTAATGGCTTTATCGCCTTACTTGGAGGGAAATGCTTGGCTTGCTTACTATCCAGTACAATATAGCAGAACATTTACACATTGACTTAATAAAATAAAATTGCCTCACCCAGAATAACGATGCTAAATTTGACCGGGTAAGGTAAAGGTATAATCAGGTGAAACAAATATTCTGAAAAAAAGGTTTAAAGGCATTTTACATTATATGATATCAAGAGCATCAAAACACATCATGATACTGAATTGCCTGGGTGAGAGCTTTAGACTTGTGGTATATGCCGTGATAAGGTTCGATAAGTTGAAAGTGTCTCGTGCAATATATACTTTAATTATTTCAAATTATTGTTCTAATCTTGTTTGTTATAGATGTTATTATTGACACATTTCGACCAAGTATCCTCAGGTCATCACCAGGTACCCATTTTTTGTCTGTATTTCTTGATTACTGTATTATTTTCACTGTGGTGCCACTTATTGTTCGTTCCTGCAGAATCACTTTTTCGCTACATGAGATGATTGAGTGATTCGTTTTTTTTTACGGCTTATCAACCTTTTGCAGGTTATTAAAAAAAAATAATATTAAAAACATATTTGATATGTTTAGAGTGCAAGAGTTTTTGTTTTGATTGTACTAATAACGATTTAGTGATACAAGTCTTACATATTAACTGGGCACATCGACGTTGTGTAATGGTTAAGACGCTTATCTCGCTAGAACAATTACGACTGAGTAGTGAGTTCGATCTACACTGAGTGTCCCATACTTTTGGCCTCCACATATAAGTTACGTTTTAAATAAGTAGAGCCGTTTAAGAATTGCGGAATTTTGTGAGACTGCCTTACCATTTCAGAGAATTGACGCAAATGTGTCGTTTTTGTTTTTATTTTGTCAACATTATTCAAACGAACATTTTCCCAGCTGTAGACCAGGTTCTGGTTGGCCACATAGCATAATGATTGACGAATTGTAAAGGTAACCGTGATTACAACATACATCTTCTAATGATCAGAGAAAAATGTGGCCCCCGAGGATGGCAACATAGACACTGTTGGGAATTGCTCGCTTGCAACAGGACGACAGTTATGCATACCTCTAAGCAGATTTCTACTTATGACAACACAATCTTACAAGCCTCGAGTGACAGTTGGGGATTAAGTGATGTTCTGCTATGTAATGTCCCGAACTGGGTATTGTCATTATGGTAGAGTTTTTGTTGGCTATATTCTGTCATTTCATTTGAAATAAAAATAACAATTCTTATGATGCGTTTTCCTGATAAATTCTCCAGTTACTTTTGCGTTATATAGCTGAACAGGTTTTTCTATCCTAGCACCAAGATCTTAGTAAAAACTTCAGATTTCTAACTCATTCAAATGATTTGGGTACGCCTATTCTTATGGATACGTTGCATCATTTTATTATTATTATTATTATTATTAAGTTTGTCATTTCTTTTCTATCCAGCTATATTTTTATTCGAAGCCTCAGTAATACTTTTTAATACTCTTCTCGCTATGAGTGGTTCTTTTTCTATTCTTTAAAAGCAAGATGTCTTCTCACTGTAAACCAAGTTCTCTTTTCAAATTAAATTCTCTTCTCGTTAAAAATCCTTTTCCTATTCTTTTCTTTTTTTTTCTATTCAGTGAATCCCTATTTTGTTCATTACTCTCTCAGCTGAACAATTATTATTATTATTATTATTATTACATCATTTTCCATTTCTCTCTATTCACCTTCTTCATTCATTTCTCTAATTTTGCTCAATCTATTTATCGTCTGCTTTTTAGTATGTTTATTTTCTTTTTCTTGTTATTGTTGTTGTTGCTCTTCTTCTTTTGTTGTTGTTTTCTTTTCTTTTTTCATTCCTCACTTTTTCATAGTCTCTCCATTTTCTTGCTATTTCGTACACGTTTCCATCCACTTCTTACTTCTTTTTTTTCATTCCTTATTTCTTCTCATCTGCCTTCCTATTTTTGCTATTTTTCATCTGCCATTTCTCTATTTCTTCATTTAATCTTATCGCTTTTTCATTTTTTACTTCTTCCATTTTACTTCTTTCTTCTCTCCTTCTTTACTTTCTCCCCTCTCTCTCTCCCTCCCCTCTCTCTCTCCCCCTCTCTCTCTCTCTCTCTCTGGCTTTTTATTACCCTTTATTTCTTGTCTTTCCTTTCTTTTTTCTGAGGCTTATTCTATTTTTCTTTCCCACAATCCCTTTCTCTGTTCACTATTGTTGTACTTTTTTTGTATTTGCTTTTATCCCCCCCCTTTTTTTTTCTTGTCAGTTTAATACCATCTTCCAGAGAGACACCCAAAACGCATAAATTCCCACAGAGAAAAGGACAGTCTTTCCAAACGATCACTCGACCACGAAGCCCGAAATGACAACTTGGTATCCCTTTAGAATTCGATCAGTAAACAGTTCTAAGTTTGTTCAAGGATAAACACCACCGCTATAAAAGCGCTCTCTGCAACCCACAGCCCTTTGGTGGTGAGAAATAACAGAAGATTAAGTTAGGCAGTTGTCAACATAAATTCCTTTTCACGATTTTGAAAACTGTCCAACTATCCTTCCGTTCCTTTTGTGGAGGTTTGCTGCACAATTTTAAATTGGCCGTGTCATTCGCTTCTTGCTCATTAGAATCCGGCTTCTTTCGGCTTCCTCTGATTGAAAGTGACATCAGTTCAATTAATTCAATCAGCCAACAATTCGTTGTGCATATTAACTCGTATAAAATGGCCGTCCTGCAAATATTACCTTCTCCCCATCGTCCTAACATACGGACTCCTTCCCACCGTTTACTCGGCGCATGTACAGCTGGGAAGAAGACGGGGGTGTCCCTGACATACGGTTCACGACATTCAATTCAATCAAAAGGTAATCGAATGCGATTAGATGATCAATCAGAAGAAACAAATTAATTAGATAGATTCATATTTCCACTGGGATAAAACCCGAACTTGTAGTATATATATGTTTGTTTTTATGCGTTGAGGTGTCTAAACCTAGAACCGAGAGTGGCGATAAACGAGTAAGAGATTGTAAATTTTAGCCTGAAGGGAACATTAGCTTGGATATGCTTGTCAGTGGACATAAGGTCGTAAAAGAGGTGTGTATGGATTTAACTAGAGTAGGATAGACTGAGGTGATATATTCATGCGTAGTTATAAGTATCTATAAACGAACCGATTGAATTCTTACTATTTATTTGTAGGTAATCGAAATATTCTATCCCTGCATGGGGAAGCTTATCAACAATTTCAGAAAATCTATTTATTTAGACAGATACATATGGATAGATTACGATAGATAGATAGATAGATAATGAAGAGACTGAAATTCATACACAGATATGATCATGCACAGATAGATAGATAGATAGATAGATAGATAGATAGATAGATAGATAGATAGATAATGAACAGACTGAATTTCATATACAGATATGACCATGCGCAGATAGATAGATAGATAGATAGATAGATAGATAGATAGATAGATAGATAGATAGATAGATAGATAGATCGAAAGAGATAGAGATGAAGAGAGATGAAGAAAACTGAAATTTATATATATATATATATTATTTAAAAAAAAATTATAACATAAATATGTTATAAAATCACTACAAAAATAGCCATTTTGTTTCAACACTCTCGGTGTCTTATCAAGTGATGATGTTGAGTGTAAAATAAATGGGTTTAAATGTTACAAATTAACAATCCTTCACAAGGGGAAAATGTTGTTACAAAAGCTAGATTGACCAATCAAAATACAAGTATAGGAAAATTCAAAAAGGTTGACAACGAAGATGTTTCAAAATGCAGATGTTTAAAATATAGGTAGTATTAAAAAGAATTTATTCCAACCAATAATTACTAAATTATATGATAAAATTTAATATTAAAATTAAAATTAAAAACTGCTAATTTCAAAATCAAAACTTAATCGCTATTAAGTTTACAACTATAAAATTATTGAAGAGAAAAGAAGAAATATGTTATTCAATTTATTTCTTCATTGAAGTTACTTTAGCTAATTTCATATCCGGTCCCTTGACAATGTATACAATTTAATCCTAAGAGTGTGAATGGGGTCCTAAACTCACGCGTAAAACAAACGCAATCAGATTCTAATATATAAATATATATATATATATATATATATATATATATATATATATATATATATATATATATATATATATATATATATATATATATATATATACAAAAAAAGAGATGAGACAGAGAACATCTTCACGGTCTGTCATGAAAAAAAAAAAAGGAAGTGGTGGGGGGCGAAGGGAAACCAACACACACGTACAAACATACACAATTAAAAGTGAATGCACTTTCCATACACATAGACACCTATAAATACATGCACACACATCTACAGACATTGGCCCAGACAATCGGATACCACAACCGATAAATATTTAAGACTGAAATTGTCATTACACAGATGTTAACCACTTATTGAAATATAACTTAAGCGAGAAAATATACAAAAATAAAATGATTAAAAATAGTATTATTTAATATATTAAAATAGTGTATATATATATATATATATATATATATATATATATATATATATATATATAACTTAGTTGATAGAGACAAAGAAACTGCAATAGGTAGCTACCAATATAGTCACAATGAAATTTAAACAATGTTGTAGATAGATAGATAGATAGATAGATAGATAGATAGATAGAATGAGAGAGAGAGGAAAAGAGAAAGAGAGGACTGAAATTGTTTGAGAGATATATAACTTAGTAGGTAGAAAGAAAAAATGCACGAGTTAGCTACCAATATACAGTCACAATGAAATATAAATGTAATGTTATAGATAGATAGATAGATAGATAGATAGATAGATAGATAGATAGATAATGAACAGACTGAATTTCATATACAGATATGACCAATTCGCAGATAGATAGATAGATCGAAAGAGATAGAGAGAGGAAGAGAGAAAGAGAGAACTGAAATTGATTGATATATATATATACATATAACTTAGTTGATAGAGACAAAGAAACTGCAATAGGTAGCTACCAATATAGTCACAATGAAATTTAAACAATGTTATAGATAGATAGATAGATAGATAGATAGATAGATAGATAGATAGATAGATAGATAATGAACAGACTGAAATTTATATACAGATATGACTATGCGCAAATAGATAGATAGATAGATAGACTGAAAAATCAACTTCAAATATTTTAAAAGACGCTCATGAATTTCATGTAACTACACAACGTTTCGCTTTTGCTTATCATCACCTGCCTTGATAAAGTCGAATAACACAACGCGTCGGCAAGGACTAAGTTCTATTTTCCGATTGTCTATTTTATTCTGTTTGTCTTCTCTACAGATATATTCTGAGAAAATTAACGTATATATATATACATATATACACACACATGGGCCGCTACTCTCGAGTCACTTGTTCTTTTTTATTTTGTTCAACATCTGCTGAACCCACCTTGCGTTTATACAGCAACTATGTAGAGCGTACCTTAGTTACAGTTTCTGGATACGCAGAATCAGTCATGACCAGCAGCTTGAACAACGCCAGTGCGCTCAAAATCTCAGTCACGAGGATTCAATACTAGCTTCCGATTACTTCCTTGCACCCAATTTCAGTTGAACCAACCCGTTGTATGCTTTTCTGGCACATTCCAAGAGTAGCGCACATTGTGATCGCCTCCCTAAACCGATAACATCACGAAGCCACCTACCTGGTCTTATGGTCGGAAATTGAACGTTCTAACAGCTCAGCCAGGTGCCCAATTTTTGAAAAACTAATCTACCCTGCTTTTTAACCTATAGCTGGAAGAAGACGTGGACCCTAGATTTTCCTAAGGGTGTAAAAGAGAATGCCACATACTCGTACGGAAATTAAACTCGGATCACCTATTTTACTTTTTGCGGTGATAACCATTTTGTTAGCAGCAATGAGAAAATCCTCATCGTGTAGTAATCTTCAACGAGTAACTTGCTTGGGGTGTGGGGGTGTAAAGTGATGGCGACTGTAGGACGTTAAATGCAAGAGATAAAGTATGAGAATTTCTTAGAGTAAACAAATAAATGAACCTCTGGAATATTATGATCTTGAACGTCCTGGAAGGAAGTGACACATAGAGACAGACAGTTCAAGCAGATGTTTATTCAACACAACATTGTCAGGTATAAAGCTGGACAATTTCCCTACCAGTGGAATAGGTAGTATTGTTTGCTAACGGTAATGAAAAGAAGTAGCCGTTCCCATACAGAAAACATTCGGTATTCATTAATCGAAAAGTTAGTCTGTCTTTTGAAATTTATAAAATCTTTTATTAAAACAGTTTCCTGAAATTGGACTCCAGGGTGGAGTAATGAACTCAGAGAGCCGAGTTCGAATTCCAGTCGAATCCATTACATTTACTTACGTGGTAATACCCTCATATGAATCCTCTTCTTCTTCCCCCACCCAGCTATGGGTAAATAGCAGGACAGAACTGGTTTTATAGCCTTGGTTAGCAACTGGTCTACCGCAGAAAGAAAAGGCAACCTGCCTCGTCAGTCGAAAGATACATGATAGCCTAAGCGTGTATCATGCATACCATATAACTGACTGCTTCCACTAAATAAGGATTCAACCAATTCTGTCTTAAATAAGATAATCCTTCATATTGATTGGCGCTATAGAACCATCACAAACAAGGAACTTTACCAAATAAGAAAACGCCACATCACTTAAATATGGAACAAAAATGCATACCTATATAGCGAAATGCTATAGTTCTTTCTAATATTTCAAAAGTTTGACTTTTAGCAGTGTGAAAGGTTAACATCTTGATTATATCAATATTTTTCTTTCCTCATGTATTTACTATCGTTTTTTTTTCAATGTTCAAGTGATGTGTGTTTTTTTTTTATTATTTGGTAACGTTCTTTGTTTGTGATTATGTAGCGCCAATCAATATGAAGGATTATCTTATTTAAGACAGAATAGGTTGAATCCTTATTTAGTGGACTCAGTCAGTTATATGCCATGCGTGATACATGCGTCATACGAAGGATTGTCTTATTTAAGACTTAAAGGATCGATTCAATTGAAGCCATTTTTAATCATTAAACGTTGCAGATAATTTGCTAAATTTAAGATTTAATTCGTATGAAGG